CCCCTCTGGCAGATTGGTCCTAACATTGCGTCGCTATTATAACCATTTCTTACGCAGATAGGAAGATATGCGTCTTCCTATCCAGGACCACTACACAAATTATCCCACGGCCCTCCATGAATGTAGGCCGCTCGATCTGGACTTCGACACGCCACTGCATCACCAACTCCTCCCACCAGTAAAACTAAATTTGCATGGTGGTTTGTTTATTCAGACTAACTTTTTGAATTTTATTTCAGGCTGTGGAGGAAACAAAAGAAACATGGACAATAGACTAAGGAGGGAGCAATGAACGATACAATTTGCCAGAATGGTGTTTCAAGTTCTCATTCGTCGAGTTACGGGCATCACGCAAGCATGCCAAACATTCCCACAAAACGGGATGAGCTACATGGCTGCTGTTCGTCGGGTTCACCCAACCAGCCATCTGTACCTTACGAACCTGTGTCTGATCACAGCGCGGAGAAGGAAAACGAGAGATTTCAGTGCAGAGCAGTTCTTCTAAAATTGCTGCAACCGCCTGGTTCTTCAGTGCTGCATGCTCAACATAACAGCTGTTCTTTAGCGTGTCAACAAACAGAAAAGACGTTATTAAAACCCGATTTGTGTGTCTCACACTGTTTGCAACACGTGGGCAGCCAACAGGCTTCTCGAAACTCTGTGGACATAGACAGGGAAGTAAATGAGGAATGGACTCAAAAAACTCGGCAATGCAATGAAAACCTTTCAAGAAAGGACAGCAACAGATCGAGTTTACTTCCTATAACGGTTCGGTGTCAAAGCTGTGAGGCAAGAGTGCGACCATCTTATTCCGAAGAATTACAATCGCGCACAGATCGCTGCCAATATTTTCCAGAAGATCGCCAACAATATTTCAATGGACATGCTTGTTTTCGGAAAAACACTTGCGATACAAAGCGGGCTCCGTATATTGCAGTGCAAATAAATAGGAAAGTACAAAGGAAAGACGAGGAGAGCCCTCAACAGATGTGCCCGCCCACCTGGAGTTACAAGGGTTGCGATTCTTCGATGTGTCAGCTCTCACCTTCTAACCAAACATTAGACAAGAGACATCCAGAAAGGGGTTGTACAGGTGCTAGCAAACGCACTATTTTACAGAACACGGAGAGATTACCAGATCATTTTTGTGCATCAGCTGAAAGTGGAAAAGACTCATTCTACCAAATTGACAAAAGAACTCGTCAGGATCCTTCTCCGAGCATGCAAGAGAAACTGGAAGATCATAAACTGAACTCGTCGTCTTCTTATTCCATGAGTTCACCAGAAAGTAATCGCCCTGACCCTTTTTGTCTCTCGGGCGAATGGAGCTCGCCAGTTGTAAGAACTGCAAATGGGCAGGGACATCACCGTGAGGTCAGTTATACATATTCAAGTCTGATTTAAGCTAGTGCTTTGAGTTATTTTTTGTTCTTTACTATCCACCAAGCATAACGGGGCAGGATCTCGACAATAACTTTTATCTACTTACGGGGCTACACTATTTAAAATTATTTATTGTTTTCTTTTCAAGGAAAGGAACGTTATATTGGAAACAACTTCAGAAAGCGACAACCAAACTGTTCCCCGTAAGTGCACATCTTGTTTTTCATAAACTTCATGGCAGTCTGTTTTTTTAAATCAATTTTCATAATGATGGTGGACAAAGGTTAGGTCATGAGGAACTTTTTCTTTAAAGAATAATTTTTATGTACCTAACAATATTGAGAGAGGTGTTGTGTTTCTTTGTGCGCAAAAGAAATATTAGTTGATCCGTAATAAGAGTTCGAAATGATTGTTGTTTTAGCTGGCATCGTGGGCAGCGCTATTTTTGCAGTGAGCCTTAACTGACATTTAAATTTTTGACCAAGTTTTAAGCTTAAGTATCAGGTAGACTAAATTAGCCCAACCGCATTAAGTCGCAACCTCTGTTTTGTTACAAGGAAGCAGATTTTTTTTTTGTAAGTCACTGGCCTCTAAATGGGATAACTGAATTGTCAATATTTGTCTTTCAACCTTCAATGTTTGTATTGAAAAGCTTTCTTAAAATTTGCTTCTTTCATAACACAATGCAATACCCTAAGTTTTACTGCATTGTATGTCAATCAACACCAACGATCGAAATGGCGAATTCGGAGCACTTTGACGGTTTCAATTGCATTCAAAGGCGACAATGCACGAGCCTCGGCTGATTTCCAATTTTTATGATCTTCATTCTGATATCTCTGATGACCGAAGGTATTTTCATTTAATGTGCATGGCACTTACTCTTGAAAAAGACTAACTGTTTTTTGTAGCACGGATTATTCGATCCAAATATACTGTCGCTTGGAAAGCCATATAAACTGCCGTAATTTTTTTAGCTTCTGAAATGTTATGTACACAATAGCTTTTCCACTAAGATTGCTTTGTTGTGATATATTCAATTGTTGGCGCTGATTGTAGCTTTGCTTTCATTATGCATTCATCTTAGAACTGTGATGTACTATTCGTTTTCATAGATTCTCCAAATGAAAGCTCGCCCGTGATAGAGAACCAGAGTGACGAGTGCACCCCGGTTATTGTACAATGCTACAGTCTTTCAACTGCAAGTCCTACTTTTAAACGTTCATCGATGAGCGATTCCCAGTTCATGAATAGACAGAAACAAGACGCAAGTGTCAACATTCGCAACGATGAAGTGCCAACGGTACCAGTGAGTCATTCTCCGCGCAGTTCATACCAACAGCATTCTCCAAGAAGCCTGAAATCTGCCAGCCGTGTGCAAAATAACGAAGAGTTTGAGTACGATTCACCGGCTCCCAGTCCGAGAAACATGGCAAATCTGCATAGCCACAATTTCCCAACACAACCAAACCACACGGCAGACGAATCATCAACTTTCAAGCTTGGTGTTGGTGATGAAGAAAACCAAACTCGCAGCGCCGTGTTACCAGGACCGTTCCACAAAAGTAGCGCCATTCCTGCAGGAATTCCTTGTCTAAATTGCCAAGCAGGTCAGCATGCGTCGAGGCGACATCATTATCTTTACAACGACCCGTGGACCGAGCCACACGTACGTTCCTCACAGAGTGTTTCCCACCAAAAGAATCGTTGTCCACCGGACTTGCACGTTGGTCATGAATCAGGGGGTACGTTTCCCAACTGGCACACCAGACAAGTTCCAAACGAGAGTAGGCCGACCTTAAAAATTCACGACTACTACGAGGAGAGACGAATTCTAGTTGGGAAGGTTTATCAAGACATTCCTGACTCAGTAGAGAGTCCTCACCGTAATCGGACGTCGACCTCTCCACATGTCCGTATGAGACAATTGTACCAAAATGATCGCTGCCAGAGTCCTAGAGAAAGCGCTGAGATATTCCATGCACAAGCTGGGGAGGAAAGCTCCACACAAATTTGCGCTCGTCAACGGGAAATTGCTGTTGGAAGTAGAAAGCGAAAAAGCCGACAACCACGTCCTCAAAGAGTAAACACAAACGACCCCGCTTTGACAAGAAAACAATATCAGCACCCAATTCAACATGCTGACGGTCGACAAGAAGTGTCCTTTAGCCACAACAATTTCCATCATCATGCAAGTTCTCCTTTCCAACCCGACGCATCATTGTCTAAAGAGGCACATCGCAAAGGAAGAAAAGACGTTGAAGTTTGTGGTAATGAGAGTGAGAGATGCTCATTTGAACCTATCCATGAGACCACAGAACAACATGAGTGGTTAACAAGGCGCAATGATCGTGTTTTGGAGAGCAACTCAGCAAGACCAAACTTTTGCAGAAATGGAATTCGTTCAGAAACGTTCTCACCATGGCGTCCCTTATTTCATGATAAAAGAGCCAATAAATTCCGCACTGTGGACAGGAGTGAACAATTTTTTGTGTACCCAAGAGGCCCAGTTCCATCATCTTATGCACCTGTTGACAGGCACGGCCGGGCAAATCACGGTCCACATGAATATCAAATGAATTCATATTACCAAACTAGGACCCCGCACCAGTACTTTGCATATTCAAATGGAGATGTCATGGAGCATCCCTTTGACTCAAGCCCAGATGGGAATGCTGCAACTGAACGGTATCAGCACGTTCCCACAGGGAAGAGAACTCCAGAAAACCGCATTGCAACCGGGTCTCGTTATGACAGTACTCAGAAGAGTTATTCGCCCCGAATCCTAGCGGGCTACTCTGGCCCACCAGAACGAAGTATGCCCACTGACGGAAGTGCGACTTCGCACTTTGAAAGAAATTCCGAGTCTTCGTGGAATGTTCGAGGGGTTCCTGTTCATGGTGAACACCGGGGCAACAGCCATTTCTATCATGCTCTTCCATCGAGGAGTAAATCGCCACGCATCAGCTCGGAAGAACAATCATCACTACCTAATGACCACGGATGTGTCTCCAGCACCACCGTGGACGACGGGGCTGACCTTCACGGCAGTGATGACGGCGACAGACCATTCCAGGCCGTACAAGCCTCTGCCACCACAGATGGAACAGATAGACCAGCGAAAGAGCAAGAGAACCGAGATTTGTTTCTGCGCACAGGAGAAGTGTGGGCAAACCACGTGACACCTACCGTAAAGGAAAGAAAATTCGTTTGCCGATACTGCAGCAAAAAATTCGCGCACTTCTCCACTCTTCAAAATCACCTCCGGACACACACAGGTGACAAGCCTTTTCAGTGCAAGTTTTGCAGCCGCAGATTTGCCCAATCGGGAGTCTTAAAGGCACACCTACGAACACACACGGGTGATAAACCATTCGCTTGCATGTACTGCGGAAAGGTGTTTGCTCAGAGCACAACGTTAACAAACCATCTCAGAACTCACACTGGCCAAAAGCCGTACGTCTGCCAGTTTTGCGGTAAATCGTTCTCCCAGCCGTCTACGCTCAGAAAACACGAACTCTCCCACACCAAAGAAAGACCGTATCCATGTAAGTTCTGTGGAAAAGCGTTCGCCCAACAGTCAACCCTGACCAATCATTTGCGCTCTCATACGGGTCAACGGCCTTACAAGTGCCACTTCTGCGACAAGAGCTTTGCCCAGCTGAGTACGTTGGATCGTCATCTAAGACTCCACTCCAGCGTGAGTCTCAAGCCCTATCAATGCCGACATTGCAGTAAAAGTTTCAGCTACTTCTCAAATTTATCGTCTCACATGCAGAATCACGAACAAGAACAAGGTGATACTTAAGATATGTTTCCGTTTCGATAGTTTTGTTCCTGATTGCTGTCACTTACGACCCGTGATTTGGAGCTAGCAAGCATTTCAAAAATGCTTTCTTTATTATTTTAGTCAGTCTACAGGCTCAACGCGCTAAATGGAGCTATTTAGTTAACCGTAAATAATATTTTAGGGAACATTACCATTGTCACTCCTATTATTTTTTATTGTGAGTCATTTTCCAATTCTCTTTCACCCTTAGAGAGGGTGCAAGGTATGAAGACGACGTCGGCAAAATGCGACTGAAATCGAGCGTTATTGCTGAGCACATGTTCTAGTACAGTATTTAAACTTTTTGTTCTGTTCGCAGTTAAGTCTCGTTAGCACCCAATATCGAATTCTATTGAGTCCATTTGTATCAATCATTGTGAGTGCTCAACAATGCTTGCGGCTTTGAAAATATTGTTTTCATTCCGCGCGAGATTCAACTCTAGGTACTAAATCGTGTGAGGGACAGATGAAAAATATTTTACACTCCTCATTTAATGTTTCTAAGAAAAAAAGCATGGGTTATTTATTGACTTGCTACATCCAAGACTACATAGGAACATTAGGGGTTTTTCATGTCAGTTTGCCTAGGGTTGTAGCTAACTAGGAAAATGAGAGATGTAAGTATATCGCATTGGTTGATTAGAAAAATGATTGTGTCGAGTCCGTCAAATAGAAATTTGGATAAAATGTGATAGTGTTACAAGTATCGCGCGTCAAAATTAAACTCAAAACTCACGAATGTTGTTCTTTGAGAACAGTATGAGAAAGAAAATTCAAAAATCGCTTTGAAAGGACAAGCAGTATTAGCGAAAATGATTATCCAATTCTGAGCGCAGTTGTTCGAAAGCCGATTGACGCCAATCTTTCGGCGAGGATTAAATTCCTTCGAAGTTTTAGTTTCTTTTTTAGTAAACTTTTTCACTTTTCACTACTCATGTTTCATGAGTCAAAAATAAAATAAAAAACATGAACCCTCGACTTCACTACAAATTTATACATTTTTTTAAATCAAAATTCACGTGAATCTTTGAGTTAATTAGCTCTATTATGCTTTAAACAACCTGGTCCTGAAGCTGCGAATTTGCCAAATTTAATCGCAAAATAAAAATTTATATTGTGGGAGAAACTTTTGTAAGTTTTCCAAAAAATATATTTGTAGATTTATGTAGCTTATCGGGGAATAGACTCCGCGATTTAATTTTAGATTTGTGTGTACTTTCTGTCAAGGTTAAGCGCTTGCGTTTTGAATGTAAGTCGCTTAGACCCCAGTCTTATAGTTGAAAAATCTCTGAAAAAATCGATCACGTAACGTTGAAAACGTTGCAGTTAGGTGACACTGAATTATTGCCCTAAGTTATGAAACTACCCAGAAAAAAATACTGCAATATGATAAGGTTTTTTAAAATATCGGGAAAAGATAACTTTATAATAAGGCGAAAAAAGCATTTGCTCCTTATAAGTCGCTTGCGATGATATCACCTTTGCATTGAATTTCCGAATGCTCTCGAAGATTTTGCTTAGTTTTAGCAAGTTGATTGCGTCATCAAGTAATGAGAAGAATGCAACGAATTAAATTCGTTACTTATTGAAAGAAATGTATTCATAAAGCTGAACTGCGAGCAGCCTCTCCTGTGTTCGAAATTCCTCGGGAAAGAAGGCAAAGCAAAAAAGCGATCGACTTGCGGCCAGGAGCTAGTCTGTTCAGATTTTTTTTATGCTGCGTTCTTCCGCGCGGATTTTTAGACAAAGGAGAGACTGCTCGTAGTCTATTATTAAACAGTCTTGATGCGGACTATAAAATAGATTTGCTAAAGAATGCATGTATTTTTAGAAAGGCATTTATTTTAGATGGTAGAGTTTATGCGACTGAAATCGAGCGTTATTGCTGAGCACATGTTCTAGTACAGTATTTAAACTTTTTGTTCTGTTCGCAGTTAAGTCTCGTTAGCAAAGGAGAGACTGCTCGTAGTCTATTATTAAACAGTCTTGATGCGGACTATAAAATAGATTTGCTAAAGAAAGTATGTATTTTTAGAAAGGCATTTATTTTAGATAGTAGAGTTTATGTAGCATCCTCAAATATACTATATTGTAAGTTGCTGTTCACAGTGTCTATAAGCCCTCCAGTGGGTTGTGGTCGTAAGTTTTAATTCACGCCTGAGCAGACATATTGTTCAGCTCTATTTTATACTGAAAAGTTACTGTGCACAACCGAACCATGACCACTTGGCGTTTTTTTGTACATTATTTTAAGTGATTAAAGAATAAGGGCTCTTCATATTAACTAGAGTATTAAGCGTTTTTACACTGTGAAAACGCCAATCTTGAAGACTCTGTGAAGAGCTTCTATTCTTAGTCACCAAAAAAGTGTCCATTTTTTCAGTTCCACTTTTGACAAAAAGAAATGACACCATCTGTAAAGGTTCATTCAGTTCCAACGAACGAACTCAAAAATAAAAAATGCTAACACAGCAGTTGCGCTAAGGTGTTCTTTGATTGACCCTCTTCCTTGTTTAAAAGGGGTGGGGTATGTGATGGGTGCGTAGGGCGTTGGCCGTGCAATCACGCTGAGATACTTTACACTTGCAAAGGCCTTTGCAGAGGTGGATCCAGTTGTGATAAGGACGAAGAGGAGAGGGAGAGGACTAAAGATGTGATCGTGGCTTTTCTTGCTTAAAAAGAATGGACCAGGGCTGGGGCAAACGAACGGGAACTGTCTCTCTCCCCAGCTGAGTGACTGTCTTTAATTCCCAACGTCGAGTTATTGCTGAATCATCTTCCATGATTGCCATAAATTTTCTGTTTAATTTTGTAATATGTTGACAAAAGAGAATTAAGGGTGAAAACTTTAATCCCCATGTAGGCCATATTCCAAAGTAATCCTTCTGAAGTTTATTTAGCCGTGTAAATCGCATTCAGTGAGAGTTTCAAACAAGAATCGTCAGATTTAATTCAAAATCCACTGCAGAAAAAGAAAACCTCTCTCATTGCGCGGGCAAAACATTTGCCCGTGAAATCAACGCACGGATTTCTTGACTCAAAGTGAAAAGAGGCTTTGAATAAAATATTGAGCGTTTGTTTTTGGGGCCTAATTCGATAGAGATGTCAAAACTTTCCCGCCAAAACTAAACTCCTCGCATAACCGTAACTATAAACATCCCTCTGGAATTTTGGTCGAGTCTGGGCACGGTAAATACCTAATCGTACTTCTTTTTTTAGGCTTAAGCGATCGTTTGGTTTCGTCATAGGTATACAAGCATACGCACGTACGCATGCGCTGAATTGATAATTGCATTATTTTCGGTACCATATCTCCTCGATACAGTAAAACAAAGCACTTATGCTTATGCTTGCAGCAGCGCGTTCTCACTTGACAAAAGCATAATCACAGGCACTAGAAGAAGAAAGAAATTCTGCTTGTGTTATGCGCGTCCTCCCTACCGTTATGCTTACGCTTGTGCTTATATTATGTCGTAGTGAAAACGCGGCTTTAGCCGATTAACATCCGGTCTTAGGCCTTGACTTAGGGGTAGGATAATCGAGAAGCTTGTAGGAAATAATTCCCTTGCGCATGGACTTTTCCTCTGGGATGGGTAAGGGGAATGATGGCAATCTCGAGCCCAGTCACGGTCTCTTGCTCGGTCAGTAACCCAACCGCTGACCAAGCCTGATAGACTCTGGGCTCGAGATTGTCTGTCAGATTACATAATAAGTGCTAAGATTGTTTGCAAGTAACGCCGCTGGCCATATGACAATATTGCAGGACTGGTTGTTTGGTATCGCAATATAAATACGAACTTGCCTGGATGAATCAGTCATACAGATTCCGTTGATTTACGCATGACCAGTGGACTTTCGAGTTTATCAGGAAAACTGTTTACTTAAGATACCTTCTTATTTAAGATTCCGTAAAAAGGCCTCTTGACTCCACTAACAAAGGTTTTTTATCATATTTCTGACGGTTGTTTGAAGCGAGAGCCGAAAAGTCATAAACAGTCACAAGTGCCCGTAATAATAGGTTGACAATTTAGGAATAAAGTAAGTTAAAACCTCTCTTAATGATGAATTCGTTTAAATGTAGTTTTATTATAATCCCCCATTTAAGCTGTCAAAAAACTGCCTGATGGCTGGCATCAAGGAATAATTTTACTTGTTTTTCTTCCATTAATTTGGCTTTGTTTTAAAGTAAGGAAAAGGGACAACGTTTTTAGAACATGTACAAAGAATTGTTCCCAAACCACTGGGATTGAAAATCTTACCAACTTACTTGTAAATGAATCGACAAACAAGATAGCCTTAAGGGATTATTTCTTATTCGCCGGTCTAATCCAAGAAAACGCTAATCTCCCATTGTAATTGCACTCGAAATATCTGTCATTTTCCGCCAACAAATAGTGTAGTTGGAAAAGACAGGTGATTGTATGTAAATGTTTGTAATCTTTCAGCGGTGCCTGAGTACTTCACCGCTTTCGAAAAGCAGAGCAATTGAAGATCGTCAAGAATCAATAGCTATCAAATTATCATGATGGAAGATATGTGCATAATATTAAGGCCTCTTTGCAAATTGACAGTCTCTTAATTGCGAACTGGAACTCCTCCAACGTTTTTGACAAAGTGTTTGAACTCAACGTTCAAATGGGTTGCACAAGCTCGCACAGCGTTCAAAATTCAATGATTACATGTCCGTTTGTGGCGATCGAGAAAACTGAAATTCCTTTAACAGCTGAACAAATACGAATGGTGCAAGAAACCTGGGAGATTATTGAACCGCACAAGAAAGAGATCGGCGTCAATGTCTTCATAAGGTAAAAGCGTATTATTAGATGAAATTATGATTAGATCGTTCTATGACGAAGTGGTCTAAACAACTGAAATTTAAAGGGATCTATTTGAACGCCAAACCGTGTTTTTTGTTTTGCATTTGCTTTTGACTCGTCGGTTAACGGTTAAGAGCCGTCTTAATTTCTCAAAATTCACTTCATTTTATGACTATGGTGTGAATTTGTTTGCGATTTGCTGACATATTCATGCCCAATGGTCAGATTATACCATCGATTTCTAAATTATTCAGATATATATCTTTTTTTCTTTTGTACATCGGCCAAAACTGCCATTTTAGAGATTTTTGTAGAAGCGTTGGGTCTAGCTAAGCAAGGAAGAAAGCTGTATTTTTCAGTACAGGAAATTGCAAATCTTTAGATAAAAGTTAGAATAGAAAAGTAAGTTTATCACGTTACAAAATAGGACGGATGACTTGCCAAATAACAATCAAAACCAGTAAAAGTAGAATTATAAGACTGGCGGATCCATTCGAACCCCCTTATTACAACCGCTAAGTTATCTTAACAATATCAGTGACGTGACTTCGTCAAACAGAAACGTAATCAACATAAAAAAAACCATCATTGTCTCAGACTTACATCCAGCCAAGTTCTGACGCCCAACAAAGTTCGGAAAGAAATGTGTCGAATATATTACACTCCGAACACGTAGGTTCACTAGCTTAGTTAAATCCACCCATAATAAAAACAAAATGCAGCATTATTTTCATGGATCAGGTGTGAAAAGAAGCAAATTTCTTCCTGTGTTTGTACTTCATTATCGCAATGATCTCAACTTGCAAGCTACTTTAAAGGCTTGACTGGAGGGAGAGTTCAAGCAATGCGCACTCAGTTAAATTCAAGTTAACATGTAATTTGTCTGGACAGAAAGTAAAGGTTTCATATAAAAATTAAAAAAAATCATTTCGGCAATAATTGTAAATAAACGCTATATGCGATAGGATTAATTACAATTATATTATTCAAGTACCTGTGTAAGGTTTCACAGCAGCTAACAGTAAACACTTATTTTCAAAGCTCTTTGTAATAGTCACTATATTTCAAATCAATTTCCCGACATACGAAATTACTTTCAAAATGAAAGAAATAGTATTTTGCTTTGTAAAAAATCAATTTTACCGTAACTGTCTAATTTCTCGCGCGCTGATTGGCTCATTTTTTATCATCAATAAGAGTACAGACGGATACATTTAATTTTATGCTGGTTGTAACCCTGCAATGGTCTAGCATCCCAGCCAGGGGGAAGTAGAAATATTCCTAGTCGTTTCATGCTACAGAAACCGGGATAAGCTCTGGCCTGATGTGCCACGTGGTTCGTATGCAAACTTTACCTTTAGCTAGCCTTCATTGAGTCTGGATTAAAATGAACTTTGGCTACTTTTGTTTCATTTTCTTTGCAGATTTCTGTCGATGAATCCTAAATTAAAGTCCAGCTTTAGTAGCTTTAAAAATATCTCAGTTGATGATATCAACAAAAGCAATGATCATCCCAGACGATTAATGGCTGCCATCGAAAACTCTGTGTCCTCTCTCGACGATCCGGAAACCTTTGCAGGTTACGTGCTGGAGCTGGGAAGAAGACACGCCAGACTCAAGTTCAAACTTTCCAAGTCTCACGTAAGAATTTAGTAGCGCAGTGAAATCTCGATTTTTCAAACTCTCGATTTTCGAATCTCCCAAGGGCGCGGCATGCATTTTTCGTTGAATGCGCAACAAAGATAAAGATAATCGAACGACGAAGGTGCGAGCCCATAGGGGGTTTTGGGGCAGGCCCCTCAATAAAGCTTTATTGTTAGTGGTTGGAAATGCCATTTCCCACGTTTCCAAGGAAGTTTCATAAGTCAAGACATGAAAAAACTTTAAGTATTTAGTACTTGAACTTGTGCTGTTTATATGTCAAAGTTTAATCTGAGCAGGTTTATTAGGAGAGATAAGAGACTGTCAAACCAACCGATTTGATTATTGAAGACGCCTTTCGC